GAAGGCTGTGGGTTTGGTTTAGTTAAGTTTGGAAATTCCGCGAGTATATCTTGGAATTTCGCTGTTGTTACTGGGGGAGTTTGAATCAAGTTAAGAGAGTTGATGTGACTTTCTTTGCCTTTTGTGTAATACGAAGTTTCTTTTAGTGTTAATCGCCGTTTCTTGGTGTCAACTAGAAATTCGTATCTCTCTAGAAAGTCCATCCCCAGTATTGCCAGATCTAGGTCGGCTACCGTGAAAACCCAAGGGAATTGCCTCCTGAACCCCAAATCTAGGGTTAAAGTTTTCTGCCCAAATGTCGCAATTTTAGTTTTATTTGCAGCTTGAAGTGTAATTGATGATGTTTCTCGACTAATCTCAGTTTTATTTCGAGGGATGATGCTAAGAGCAGCGCCAGTATCCACCAAGAAATTCAAGCCCGAGTTTCTGTCTCTAACATAAAACAAGCGACTGTTTAGGCGCCCCTCCTCAGTCGTCGCGACCTGGGGAGGGGTTACTCGTTTCCCGCTGTCTTAGAATTATGCTTAGGCCAGGCGCATGGTTGCATGCACTTGGTTGAGTTGACACCAAACTTCCAGTGGTACCAACAAAACTGCCCAGATTGTCTGGACATTTGTGACCTGTTTTGTGACTTGGATCGTGGTCGTTGTGGTGACCTGCTCCTGTTTCTATGACCCATTTGCATTCTGGTGACAGCCTCAGTGAGACTCTTAACACTCGCAATGAGTCCTTCTATTACGGGGTCTTTTGCTGATTCTACTTTTTGTGTGTGATTTATTGTGCCTGATCCAGTTGGAGGACCTCTTTCCATTATTCTGTCGGCTATACGCGCTAATTGAGATAATGAGGTTTCAGGATCCTGTGCATCCAAACAGTGTTGGACGTAGCATGGGAGAGCTTGTATCCATCCTTGTTTTAGGACTGCTTCACCCACTGTGTTATCACCCACTAAGACTTGGAGGTGACGTAAAAACTGTGACGGCGACCGATCACCTAGTGTTTCACCTTGAAAAAGTCTTTGGATTCTTTGACTATCTGATAATGATAAACGGTTCATTATCTCTCGTCTTAAGATGGTGTATGGTTGTGGTGATGGTGGACTTAAAATCAAGTCACGGACTTCTTTGGCGACTGAAGGAGGAAGGATAGAACACAAGTCTCTATAGCGAATCCCTTCAGATTTGATATTGTGTCTCGTGAAATAATGCTCTAGTTGAGCAAACCACAACTCAGGATCACTACGATCAAATTCTGGAAGTCGGGATTTCGTAGTCATAACAGTGTCTATCTCCACTGGTGACAAATCCTCCAGATTATGGGTTTCTATTGAGTCTGACATGAGGTATGTGACAAATATAGCAATAAAGTTAGCACAAAAAGTGGTTACTATAACACGAATAACTTAAGATAATACGGAATAAACTAGTTATATACTCAAATTAGTTTACGGATAATCAGGTCTACTTTTAAGATTAAGTAAAAAAAATGTTAATAACAGAAATGAGGTTAAATTTGTGTTCAAAAAGGGCTCACCAGTTTCGTGCCTTAAGGTAACCCTCGTGCTATTGATAGAAGAAACCAGAGAAGTAGTGAATAGGTCTTTATTTCGATCTTCGCGCAGTCGCAGTGGAGCGTGGGATTATCTGTTCAGACAAACAAAGGCTCTCAACATTCAAGATAATAGGGAATATAACGCTTATGAAAAATAAGGAAGTGAATGAATACTTGAACAATACTGTTTTGGCATAAGCTTGGTTGTTTGGGGTCAACTCTTAACCAACCAACCTGAGCTGTTACAACACAACATCTACTCCTAGAAAGTTGTCAAGTGCTAGAATTCGCTGCCAGCTCAGCTAGTTCAAAAGACTTCCTAGGAGTCCCTTAAGTGGAAACTTGACCTATTCTTCAGGACTAAGGATAGTGTCTTACCATGATTTACCGATTTCTTTCTTTCCTCTATTATCGTTAATATACCTAGGTTCCTGTCTGGATGTGTTGGTGATCCACTGCTATTAGACCCGGAACACGGTTAAGCAAAAGCTTCTTCTATTCTGTCCACAACCATTTGAACCTTTTGGCGGGAAGAGTGGGCTTACATCAACTACAGTTCTCATAGTTTCTTCTCAGCTGGGGACTGAGTGTAATTTCATGAGTCGGCTCCTTTTGCTTTTAAATTTGTATTTAACGGGTTAAAAATAATCTAGTCAGCTTACACTTACAAAGATTGTTCCAACCACTCAGATTCTTGACACGATAACTTGTGATCTACTTTTATGGGTTAATAAACCTATCATTATTACCCAGGACTAAAGATTTCAAGATTAATGCCGTATATCTGATGCCTAGTGTGTCAATTAGTTTGGTTTGAGTTTTCATATGCATTTCTGCCACGTAGTGCTTTGTAAGATTGGATGTACATCCTATTGTGTGGTGAGATACTTAGTAGTGTTTCGTGATATATGTAGTCATCTGTAAAAACTTGTTGACCCAGTATTATTTTGGCTTATCCTCTTGTATTCGACAAGTAAATAGGGAGTGTAATAACATTGGTTACATGAATATCCAAATCAATGTGTTTCATAGAACCCGTATTACATTCAGATTCTTGCTGTATATGCTTATATTGATCTAGGTGGTCCTTTGAGAGCCACTTTGGTTCAGCAAGGTTGTAGAGATTTATCGGAGAAGGGATTCCATCAATTTTAGTAGGATGTCACGGTTTGTGCGATTCTCTTAACTCATCTGTTATAACTGCACCCCTTTGTCTTGTCTAATTAATGGTTAACACAAACTTTTATCATGTTCTGGATTTGATCTTTGTGAGTTACTATTATCAGAATTACTCTTTACATCCCTTGTAGGTTTTCTCTCACTTCCAGTCTATATTCAGACCAGCAATACGCTATCTTCAATCTGTTAGCATATTCAGAGCTTGCAAACAGCATATACTTTGTCGTAATATGGACTTCTATATCAATGTACCTCCTCCCGTGCATTTTCTTGATGTTACTGAAGCGTTCAAATCACTTAGCAATGTGGAAAAGGATTATGTTTTCAGCTGCACACAAGCGTCTTGGATTGGAGGTCTCATAGGATTAATTCAAACATCTCCTGAGTCTGCCGGAATATTTTTGTTTGTCAGTCGCTTTTTCCATTTGGAGAACGTACATTCCTTTGTTGAAAAAGCGGCAAAAAATAATTTTTCCGATGAGGAAATAACCCACATTTTATCTTATTTCGCCTCAGTGCTGGGTAATTTCGGGAATTACCTGTCGTTTGGGGACACCAAGTTCATCCCAGCTATCAATGTCGACAGGGTAACAGAATTTTTATCGTTGAGCAGTGAATTTTCTAATTCAGAAACTGGTCTTAAAGCTTTATGGAAAGAAATAGCTCCAGCCATCTATTCGTTAAGTCCTCGCCGTTTACGCCTTGGTTTTAGTCCCACTGAAATAACGTCTTATTACTCTGAAGACTGTATTCGAAGTGATGCTGAACTAGTTCAAAAATATCTGGAAAACGTTAAAATTGAAGCGTATAATACCCGACTTTTTAAGAGTAGTAACTCCAACTCCAAAGTTTATTCGATTCGGTTTGCGTCGGCTGAGAAGAAAGTTCAACCTGTGCATTTTGATGCCCTTCCTTCGGGAACTTCTTTGCAGCTCGAGTACGGTGACTACTGCGAACTTATGGAGTTACTGGTTGACTGCTCTTTAGATGCCAAAGCACACTCTCTTAACAAAATCGAATCAGAAATGTGGGATCATTATGCTCAGAGCTTTTATACTGGGTCCTTAGACTCTCACAAAGATGCTTCTAGACTATGGGTCAAGGACAAATGCCCTGTGGTTGAAAATTACATTGGCTTTATTGAAACTTATCGTGATCCTTTAGGTGTACGTGCAGAGTTCGAGTCATTTGTCGCAGTTGTGAATCGATCAATGTCATCTAAATTTCAGCGGCTAGTAGATAATGCTGTTGACTTGTTATCTAATTTGCCATGGCCTTCTACTTACGAAAAAGACAGGTTCTTACAACCAGACTTTACAAGTTTGGACGTAGTAACGTTTGCAACCTCAGGAATCCCTGTTGGAATTAACATTCCTAACTATGATGATGTGCGCCAAGTTGATGGATTTAAAAATGTATCCTTGGGGAATGTACTCAGTGCTCGCTTCAAGGTAAAGTCTGTTTGTATAACCTATTTTTCGTATTAGGACCCTAAATCAGAATTTCTCCGAGAGGAAGACAAGAAGTTGTATGTGGATTATGCGGAGAGTTCTTTCGAACTTCAAGTTGGACTTCATGAATTGTTAGGCCATGGTTCTGGGAAGCTCTTTCAACGTAGTGGCGATGGAATACTGAATTTTGACACGAATTCTACGAAAGATATCATAAGTGGAGGTCCCATACGTAGTTGGTATGTCGGTTACTTTCACTTTCCTATGGTTACTATTATTGCTAGCCGGTTGGGCTAGTCCAAGAGACTTCCTAGGAGTCCCTTAAAAGGAAACTTGACCTATTCTTCAGGACTAAGGATATTGTCTTACCATGATTTACCAATTTCTTTTTTCCTCTATTATCGGTAATATTTCTAGGTTCCTGTCTGGATGTGTTGGTGGTTCATCACTACTAGACATGAGATCCCGTTAGGCGAAAACTTCTTCTATTCTGTCCACAACCATTTGTACCATTCGAACATTTGTCTCTCTGAAAATATCTTTTAAGGTGTTTTTGATTAAATTTAAATAAAAATTTCCTTATTCTTCATACTTTGTACTATTTTTTACCAGCTAGCTTCAAAAGCAAAACTATACTTATATTACGTCATTTTTATGCACCTTCAGGTCATTATCGCGCAAATGTCTGTGGCGCTGTGTTTGGTTGCGGTGCAAAGAGTCGAGGAGTAGGTGATGCACATAGCTGTGTGTTAACTACATATTACAGTAAACCTACTTCGGAACTGCAAACTGTTCTTGTCGTCTAAATTTTTGTTCCAGATGAAACTTTGTGAGAAGCTGTGTTTTGTTGTAGCAATGTCTGTTATTCTTACTACCATGTGTTTCGCTATTATCAGACCGGCACTTGTGTTATACAGCTTCTCTTCTCTTTTCATCCTTTTATACCTCCTGAGAGTTTACAACTACTGGTACCTCTCGTTTGACTATTATAAGTGACAAATTTAGGAAAAATAAATACTTATTGTTTATGTTGGACCCATGCTACTTTATCAACTTTGTGTCATTGATCTTCATCTGGTTAGTATTTGTACTAATATTTGTATTTCACAGGTTATTGCCGCAATCGCACGCCATGCAGTTGTTCCACTTTGGTCTTGCCAATTCTCTAGCTTTCGGTGGGGCGTTTCTGTTCCGTAACACCCTTGCTCTGCACGACATTCAAAGACTTACTTCGTGTTTTATACACGTCTTGCCTGCCCTTTTCTCATTCTTGCAAGTTTCGGTTTGTTAGTGTGTTTTTAGTTGATACGATATATTTGCGTTCCATGGGTTTTTACCCCATACTGTTTTTATAATTTCTTGGTGACTGGAATCGAAACTATTCTCGGCTTTTTTCTACATAAATCCAGTTAAGATTTAACTAGACTGAAGTGTGTGAAGATTTATTTTGAGGGTTCTTAAAAGATAACAGTTTGGGCTCAAGAGTTGTATTTTAGTGATTTTTTAGTGTGAAAGGGAGTAATAATCCTGTCTAACTAACTCTATTTATAAATTATCCAATTCCACAAGAAAAAAGGATCGCTTTGTCGTAATCACAGCGCATCAACCAGTCAATGTGATACATAAGGTGTTAGCCGACACTCATGAGGCACCTAAATTTGTCTTGGAAATAGCAAACACAAAAGCAGCCAGCAGGTTCCAGATCTGGTCGTGAATATAAAAACCGGGCTGTAAATTTCTAATAGGTCCCATAATTTATGCAAACGTATTGACTCTACTGTAGTAATGCTTCTTGATTTGACGGCGTCATATGGCTCCTTTGACTGAAGGTTTCATGTTAACATTTTTATTGAAATTCACATTGTAGAAATCATATCAATCTACTAAAAACCAGTTTTACGTACACTACTGGTGAGGTCAGAACTGGTGGTGAACTGTCCTTTAAATTGATATCAACAAACAGTGTTTATTAGGGCTACGGAATTTCCTCATGCTTAAACGCTTTCGTCAAGAATATGATTGCATGGTTAAATTTTTTTTCTTATGACTTTGCAGAAATACCCTAACATAACTCATTTATTTACTAGTGTAGATGACACAACTGTTTGAATGAAACAATTACTAGACGCTTTGGGAACGATCCAGAAATATTTGGAATAATGGCATCGATCTCAGTTTAATACATATGCTTACATACGTCTCAAGTTTAGAATTTAAGCTTATAACAGTCCAGAAACAGTAAGCTAATTGTTAATGTCATATGTTTTTCATTTTTCGAAATAATTCTTTTTGTTATATTCACAGAATTCGGTGGCATCCATCGGAAACATCAGTTTGGTGGTATACCAACTTATATGATTCCCATGCTTCTCTAGAATTGTTGTCCTGGAATAAAAATATCGACTGGTTCTGGCTTGTTGCAGCTCCTACTTTATTCCATTTCGTACGTGAGGTAGGTAAGAATTACACATTTTAGTTTGTGTTTATCCCTTTCTTATATACCAATAATTTTCACTTTCTGTCTCATTGCTCTTACTGACTGATTAAAATGAGGTTAAACTGTCAAACTACACTATTTCATATTTTCAATCAGCAAGCAAGAGAAGTAGCAAAACATTATGTACAGTGCTCTGTAATCGGATACATCTCGAAGTATTGACCACAATTAAAGTTGGACTGTTGATACTTTTATTCCTCTCATGATTAGAAATAGAAACTAAGTGCTGTGAAGTTGATTAATTCACAAAGATGATCTAGTCTTATAAGCCTTCTTTATCAGTATTTCTGGGTTCCTAAAAATTAGGCAATTGCTTAACAAATTAAACCTAGTAAGAGGAATGGTGACATTCGACGGCTTCAAAGAGATTGAAATGAAGAAAAATGGATGAAATTTGACTAAAGGACAAATAAATTTAGTATAGTATGATATAAGTTTCGAAAAGATGAGTATATGACGATTTTTTGGAACATTGAACATGTTCATCACCATTTAAAGCGTTCTATGACAACCCCTATTCTGGATTAATGTGAATGTAAGACATCTGAGATTGTCGAGAATTTAAATATCTAGGGTATAGTTTCACATATTCTAACCCAACAGTATTCAGTATGAATAGAGCGACATGTTATTGAAAATTGACGATCAGCAGTTGTGGTAATAACATATTTGGGGTCGAAAATCATTCAAATGCAGTATGTTGTAACGAAAATTATAGTCAGTTACTCATTCAATGGAGTAAGCCATAAAAAATAAGGGTAAGAGAAAAATGAATGTTTATAAAAGATGTACTGCATTGGAAATTTAAGTATTTTGTGATTAATTGTTTTATGGGGATATAAAAACTTGATGGTAGTATATGTGTTACATTAGATGTTTCGTAAAAGGACATTTTGATAGCGTTTGTTAAGAATGCGTCAACAATTTAGTCAAATACATATGGTCCGTACATATATGTATACTCCTCATCATCTGATGGTTGCCCGACCGTTGTTGCTACCTTGACGTGGTGGTCGGGCTTGCCTATCGTGATGAAGCAACCGAGCTATACTGGCTGGAACAACCGTTCCTCAAGGTCCTACCATGTCAGACAGGTCGGTTGAAGAGCGGTAAGACTAAAAGCAACAAACCCAAGGTCCGAAGGCGAAGTCGTACTGCTGACTGTACAGAGGTGTGACAGCAGTAAGGTGTTTCCTTCAGACAACCAGCATGACAGCGATGCTGCCTTCCCACAAGGAGGGGTGGGGTTAGAAAAGGTCGACCCTAAAAATGCACACCTCACCTTACCTCACGGATTTCCGTCTCCGGCGGTAAGGCCCTTTGAAGAACGGAGCTAACACGTCGAAAACCTTCCACAAAAAGGCCGTGCGCGACCGGCCTCAAGCAGTTGTCCCTTGGGCACTGCGGTCACGCTCTCAGGTCACTGAGACCACCTCTAATCCAATTTCCTTTTCAGGTACCTCCAGAAGAACCCTTCCACGGTGTGGGCAACCGGGAAGTGATAACCGCCCTCATACCTCTAACAGCACCCAAGACCACTGTATTCATAATCAACCTTCCTCTTCAATTCCTATTATTCCTCCTACATCGACTTTCAACCCTAAACTTCCTCCTTCGGCTTCCTCCTCAAGTATCACCATAGCCAACGATTCTAGTGCTCAAAACTCTGTCCCAGGTCTACTGAAACCTCGCTCCAAACTACACATTGGAGCTTTCAACGTACGCACTCTATGTCAAATCGGTCAGCAGGCTTCCTTGGCTAAAACCCTAGAGTCTCTTTCCATTGATGTATGCTGTGTCTCCGAAACACGCATACAGGATCCCAGTGTGGTCATTCACTTGACCTCACCTCGGCAAAACGGAGAGCCAACGAGATACACCCTTCGTGTATCTGGTGACCCGATGGCCAGTTCTCGTGGACTGGCAGGTGTAGGCATAGCACTAAGCATGAGGGCCGAACAAGCACTGCTAGAGTGGATCCCCGTCAACAGTCGTCTATGTGCTGTTCGGCTGAACGGCTACGTAAGAACTCGGAAGGATAGGGACACACGTCGTTGCCTTTTTGTCGTTTCTATCTACGCGCCCACCGACTGCAGCTCAGATGAAGTGAAAGATGAATTTTACAGAAAGCTGTCCGAACTTCTTCAGAAAGCTAAACGCTCAGACATAGTACTCGTAGCAGGTGATTTTAATGCTCAGATAGGAAGCTTAAACCAAACAGAAAGGCATTTAGGTGGATATTTTAGTATTCCGACACAGCGAACAGATAATGGTGATCGCCTGCTGCAGCTATGCTCAGACAATCGTTTATTTTTAGCAAACACAAATTTTAAGCATAAGGAGAGACATCGTCTAACATGGCGACCCCCTACACCAAACCAACGATGGACTCAAATAGACCATATTGCCATCAGTCATCGTTGGAGAGGGTCGGTAGAAGATTGTCGCTCATTCTGGAGTACCTGCTTGGACTCCGACCACGCCCTAATACGGGCACGCATCTGCTTGCGCCTCACTGGACGCAAAAAAGCCATAGTAAAAAGACCCATTAGAACTGAGTTGAGTAACGAGAAAACCAAAAGTAGGTTCCAGGAACAACTGAGGTCACGATTAGGTAGTTGTGAAGACGAGGCTGACCCAGATGTTGCTTGGAAGGGCATACAATCAGCTGTGGAAACAGCAGTGACATCTATTAGTGACTTAAACCACAGAGTTGCAAGGAACCAGTGGATTTCTTCAAGGTCTGTCACACTGATAGATTCTCGCAAACTCATCCCATCAGGTTCTGAACATGATGAAGAGCGAAAACAAATCAGATCTAGGTTAAGAAAAAGTCTAAGGAACGACCGTGAGCAGTGGTGGGTAACGAAAGCAAAAGAGATGGAAAAGGCGGCGACTATAGGGAACACAAAACAGCTTTACAGACTAATAAAAGAAACTGGAATTAATAAGTCAAGTGTAAGTGAGACTATTTCGGAAAAAGACGATACACTCATCTGCTCCCAGTCCAGACGTTTAGAACGATGGGCGGAACATTTCAGAGAACAGTTCAACTGGCCTTCAGCTACTCTACAACTACCCTCCATTCCCAGACAGTGTGAATGGAACATTGAAGTAGGTCCCCCAACTCTTGCTGAAGTTCAAAAGGCTATAGTTAATCTGAAACGAGGAAGGGCAGCTGGTCCAGATGGATTGGCTCCAGAAGTCTTCAAGGATGGTGGTCCAATTTTAGCGATTAGGTTGACTAATATTTTAGCAAAGATCTGGGAGTCAGACGTTATCCCATCTGACTGGTCCCAATCACTTATCGTCCCAATATATAAGAAAGGGTCAAAATCATCCTGTGACAACCATAGATGGATTAGTTTAACTAATATAGTATCTAAAATACAAGCCTCGATAATTATCAGACGCTTAAATAAGACTCGTGAACTGCAAACACGAGAGAACCACGCTGGCTTCAGACCTGGTCGTGGCTGCATCGACCACATATTCACCATTCGTCAGGTTCTAGAACACAGGCATACCTATCGGCGTCCGACAATGGTGGTCTTTCTTGACTTAAAAGCAGCGTTTGACTCTGTAGACCGCGAGACTCTGTGGCAGTGTCTGTCATTGAAAGGCGTACCTCAGAAGTACATAAACCTTGTGAAGGCTCTTTACTCGAACACTACTAGTCGAGTCAGAGCTTATGGCGAACTGTCATCTACTTTTGCAACTTCAAGTGGTGTCCGTCAAGGCTGTCCACTTTCTCCATTTTTGTTTAACTTCATCATAGACCTATTGATGGAAATAACACTCTCGTCGACTGAATTCTCGGGTATTGATCTCCTTCCAGGAGGTCCACTTATCGACTTAGAATACGCAGATGATATAGTCCTGTTTGGTGAAGACGCTGACAAAATGCAGAGTCTTCTGGTAGCACTGAGCAACAATGCCAGAATGTTTGGGATGCGCTTCTCTCCCTCTAAATGCAAGTTGTTGCTTCAGGACTGGTCTGCGTCAACACCTGAACTAAGGATAGGGAGTGAAGTAGTCGAACGCGTCGACAACTTCACTTATCTTGGAAGTCTGATCAGCCCTAATGGGTTGGTGTCTGACGAAATCTCAACACGGATTCGAAAAGCTCGATTGGCTTTTGCCAACTTGCGCCACCTTTGGCGAAGGCGAGATATCCGTCTATCAATAAAAGGACGAGTATACTGCGCGACAGTCCGTTCTGTCTTACTTTACGGCAGCGAAACATGGCCTTTAAGAGTAGAAGACACCCGTAAGCTACAAGTATTTGACCACAGATGCCTTAGAAATATTGCTGGCATCTGCTGGGATCACCGGGTAAGTAATAGTGAGGTTAGACGCAGGGTATTAGGGAATGATGGTAAATCAGTTGATGAGGTTATGAATCTTCATCGACTGAGATGGTTGGGCCACGTATTACGTATGCCTGAACACCGATTACCACGACGTGCAATGCTAACCGGTGTAGGGGATGGTTGGAAGAAAGTTAGGGGCGGCCAAACCAAAACGTGGCATCAGTGCTTGAAGTCACTAACTTCTAGTCTTAGCCATGTTGGTAGATGCAGACTACTTGGTTGGGGTCCGCGTGACTATCGTAACCAATAGTTGGAGACTCTTGGTGACATGGCTCAGAATCGATCACAATGGCGTCGGTGTATACACTCTTTGTCTTCCCTTAAACTAAGAGATTAAAATCACTTCATACGAACTAATTCTTCCTTCCTATACTATATCCTTATTGCAACCTTTGACCTAACCACTCCTATGAATCCGGTGTTCATCTTGTTGTGCTAATGAGGTATGGCAACCTGGACCGATGCACATATGTGCCTGGTCCTACGTTGTAGCTGACTGACTGACTGACTGATCTGATGGTTGAATCTTTTTGCAAATAAATGTTACATCTTTTAGATAAAACTGACCTATAAGGGTGAGTCAGGTAGGAGCAAGTTGCTTCTAGGTTACAATGCACATATCAAAGCAGAACACTGCTTGTTGAGCGTGGTTGATTTAATTTAATAATGAAAATAAAATTAAAGTGCTCAAGGTTAGGGTTAGAAATCGGATTGAGTGTTTAATATATTTAGGCGTTTTACCACCTTTTAAAAAACTAGATCATAAGAAAGGTAAGTTTAGAGAAAAAATTATACATCATGTATTCTTGATTTAGCTGAATTGATGGAAATTTGTTAAGTTCTTTTGCTGTGGATACTTTAAAAATTTCTGTATTATAAAATAAAGTATTTGCATATTCTAAATAAAAATAATATATTTGTAATATCCCAATGAGTAGAAAATTGGATTTTCTGAAAAACTTGGATTAATTTTAATTTGGTTATTTATTCTCTGAAGAAGTGACTTACGCTAAATCATGAAACGTCAGAAAATCCAATTTTCTACTCATTGGGATATTGCAAATATGTTATTTTCCTTTATAACAATCTACCCAATGCTCAATTTATTCGAAATTATCAAATCAAACCTTGGTAATGACACCTATTTGCATATTCATCCATATGATTGTTTTGTTATTGGAATATATTTATTTATATTCACTTCGGATGTTTTTTTAAATGATCAGTGTAACCGCGTTAGTAGTGTTTAGATTTCATTTGAATTATTTGGCTGTATCATCTAACAGTATAACGTGTGGCGCATATATATTGGCGCTGTCTTGTACCAATATTCATGTGTCCAAATAAATAAATAAATAAAACAGTATAAACATATGTAGTTAAGGAGAAGAAATTCGTTTAAATAATCGATCACAGTGATATTATTTTATTGTAATTAATACATCCAGCACAAGTAAATCTCTTTATTGCGTATGCTGTTTCATCATTCTTTGGCAACCAACTTTTTTCATAGTCTAGAGTAGTTTCAATAATTGTGTCGTGATGTCAATCAATTACAAACCTTTATAACATTTTCTTGTATGGGAGGATCTCTGAATCAAACGATTTACTTACACATTAGTCTAAAAAAATACTTGTCAAATAGTAATGTGTATGACTAAAATAACGACATCAACATGTTCATATTTCCGTTCATACTTTACCGAAGTATTAGTTGGTGTAGTGGTGTATTATTGATAAATAACTTTATAATTAGACATTGTTACTTATTTCTTATTGTTTTTTATTAGATGCTATATTATACTATAATTTATGGAATTGTCAAACCCAGTGATGATTATTTAGATAGTTTCCGATATTTACATAAAAAGAAAATTCTATGGCGTTTCTTCTGGAAATATATTGGTGATCGGTAAGTATATATATATATATATATATATATATATCATACATACCATATATGTGGTATATATATAATATATAAATGTGTTACTTTAACTATTACGATGGTATATGATATATATAGGATTTTTGGTACAGTACAACTGGGAAGTATTTCTTATTACAAACTGTCAACAACTCTTATTTGGCACTACCAAACCATGAAATGTAAGACAAATGTTTATGTAGTTGTGGTTGATTTTTCGGACATTATGTACGTGTATTTATTGTTGCATAATTTCTCAATTTTATTCAGTTTATTCAACTCATTTACCAAGTACGGATTCATGCACTTAACTTGGAGGTAAAATCTAAGCATGTGATCTGATGATACTAACCGGTCACCCAAACCGAAATAGATAAAGTTCAAACTGTTCAATTAGTGACTTAGAACCAAATACCTCAACCACTAAGCCACCGCTTCACCCTTTATCTAGTTAACTTGTGCCAGAAGACTCGTTTGATTGATGTTTATTAGTCTTATGCACTCACTGTAACTGAGATAATTAATGTATAATTGTCTGTTTGTAGTTTTGAGATATAACTGCTAGTCAAGTTGCTTATTTGTGTCTAGATGTTGTTATTATTTCCTGATTACTACAGCAAATTATGGTTACTACCTATTATATAACACTAGATACACAATTGTTTGTTATTTAAAAATCTTAACACTGCGAATTTTATGAGTTAACAGCTTAAAGCGTTTCTTGTATGTATTGGGATTTGGAGAGCGAAGTAGTAGCCTGTTCATGGTAGTGTTGTCTGTAGTTCAGTAAACTAGAAATATACATTGTTATTGATATTTAGATACATCTTTTATTTCAGAATCAAATGAAAATACCATTAGTTCAATAAATATGATAGTGTTTCACTCTTTACTCTATTTATTAGTGCCCAACGGTCCCCAATATCAAGACTTACAGTTTATTTATCTATCGTGCAACTTTCATAACTAATCATCTGATTTCAGATTATTGAATCATTACCAACAATATATCAAGATCATTAAATTTCATTTCACCTTTAATAGTCAGTTCAGTAATATATAGAATTTTACAATCCAAGAAAATTTAATACATCAAATCTTATTGTAACATTTGTAAATATGTGAATGTATCGATTAACATAAGAACACCATCATTTATAACAATGTTTAATAGACATTAAGAAATATGAATTCTAATTTTCAATTATCTTAATGACTAAATCAACGCTATTATAGATCTCATTACCAAAGTTTGACTTGATAATTTCGGTTAAATTGAGCATTGGGTAGATTGTTATAAATAAATTAATATATTTGTAATATCCCAATGAGTAGAAAAATTAGATTTTCTGACGTTTCATGACTTAGTGTAAGCCACTTCTTCAGAGAATTTATAACCACATTAAAATTAATCCAAATTTAAATAGTACTATTTGTACTATTGTACTATTTGAACTTGGATTAATTTCAATGTGGTTTTATATTCTCTGAAGAAGTTCCTTACACTAAGCCATGAAACGTCAGAAAATCTCATTTTTCTACTCATCGGGATATTACAAATATATTATTTATTTATTATTATAGATCATAGAAATAATCAATAATAGTAAATGTGATCAGTATTACTTGTTGTAATGTACATAAATGACAAAACAAATCTCACTAAATTGTAATGGACTAATAAAATCAACAAAAAATAGGGAATACAAAATTTATTGGATTAGGTTAACAATAGGATCAACCAAACAAGATTATGTTAATTGCTAGTTTTAGTGTATTATCACTTAACAGGTGAAATCACCTAAGATACGATCATAATTATTTTTATCTAATACAATTCAAGATTATGCAGCTTTTGTTTTTATTTATTATTCATTTGTCATCCAATATAGACAGTCTAACATGTTTAAAGGATAGGAAAGAGGTTAAAGTTTTTATTAAATTTTATTTTTATATCACTTCACTTATTTTTTATCACTGTTATTATTATTACTAGTAATTATTGTTATCATTACTGTTACTACTTATGTTTCTTCTTTTTAATATTCAAAACGATGTTATTAATATTTGTCATGGTTTATAAACTACATTACTTGAACCATCAGAGGGTCGATTCCCTTTATATAGGGAGTTTTGTTTTCTAGTCTATAGGTAGTTTATTATAACATTGTAGTTGTAATACAGTAAAAACAGAATTACTAAAATGGTTCAGTGTCATTAATTATTTTTACAGTTCACTAAAAGATTAGTTATGATAAATGTCAAAAAGAACGATCTAAGGGGCTTTCGCCGATCAATGTTCTTTTTATCCTACAGTTGTAACAGGTATATGTTTCAAGTAAACATACATATGACTACACTTGAAAATGAAGTGTTTTATTTTCAATTTACTACTTTCATAAACATTAATTATGACTTCGGAAAAATGCAATTAATTGTTCAATTGTCTTAAGCTTTAAATAGGATGCAATTGTTAGCTGTAATACCATATCATAACTTATAGTCTTTATCTGTTTCAATATGCAGTAACAGGGTAGTAAAATATCTCTAAGATTAAGAAAGTTTTTGTTGTTAGTGTTAATTGTCAATTAAAATATGAGATTCTGTATCTTGTACTTAGAAAATCTTCCATTAAATAATTTTTATCAGTTTAGTAAGGATTCTCCAAATTAAATTTTTAACATATAACCACAAATGAATACTATATATGTTGACTCTGTTTGAAACTATTCACTCGATCTTTGTTGAATAAATTATTATGAATCTTTAGTTACGTTCACTACAAAACAATTTATTAATTAACAACACTTTCTTTCACCAATAATATTTTTCTCTTAAACTTTCATTGGTTTACAATTACCACGGTTACGCCTTAGGATATTAAGAGGATATTTGATTGTAGGACGATTAACTTTTTAAAGCTCAAATAAGAAAGAATTTTTTAATTTAATTCAATGAAATTCGTAACAAGGAATGACTTTAATCATCAGTTTCAATAGCCTTGTGTTATACTTACTTGTTTAAGCTAACACTATTGTTTTTCATATAAATTAAATCTAATTTGAATCTAGTATACAGATTGTTATCCCAGTTATTTTATTCTCGGTGTTCTAGTAGCATATTTTTAAATTGCGCTATGTATAAGTAGCTATGCTTTACATTATTATTTAATTTCCAGTGATACAGGAATAGTATATCAAGCTAGTCAGACAAATATATAACATCAATTAATATATGTTATGAAATGAAAATTAAGTTATATGTATTTAAAAGGGAGAGATGTATGAGGCAAACTGCGAGAAATTGTTATTCAGGCTATTTATCTGTTGTGTTGCTTAGTTAGTGACACCATCCGGTTTCCGAAGTAAATCGAGTTCAAACTTGTAACCTGATGATTCATGAGCTTCTCAAAAGCTCGATTTAAGATACTTAACTTTTTTTCATTTTTGCTCTAAATACTTGTACCAATTTCTGTGTACGTTTTGTGTACTTAGGGCTAGACAAACATAACATTGGTCACTACTCAGTGAACAATCAATTGTAAATAGCTCAGTTTTTTAGAAGGTGGTCAGTCTTTATCCGAATAGTTCGATGATGTATCGCCTCCCGTAATGTGAAGGTGGGTAATGTCCGTTCAAATCCTAATGAAGGTGATATCTCTATCAAGATCGCAGGTATGCTTTGCTGATGAATTCTGAGTGGCATGAAACGTAGGTACCTGATACAAATAAGAAAATAAATATTGATTTTATTTTTACCTGTAATAATTTGATTTCCAACTGAATACTCATTTCTGTACCGTATTAATATCTCTATTTAATTTTTATTCATTTATAAACTAGATGGCATTTGATTAGTTGGATAGCTTGCAGTATCATACTGTCTACAATTCTCCTATTAGTTGCTGTCGTTGCATGGTGCAATTATCTATTCCATGCATCTATGTTAATTATTCAAACATTAACGCTAATATGGAATGGTGCATGTTTTTATTTAGATTATTTCCCCATTGAATATACACGTAATTTACGAATAGAACCAGAACAAGGTATGATTACTGTAACTAAAAATGAAAATCACATTGATAAGAATAATGATATAGAAATAGTTAATGAACGTATAATAAACGATGATGTTTATAACAACATAGCTGCCAGTGTATTTTCATGTTATCCAACACCAGATGAATCAAACTCGAGAGTTTATGAAGATGGGCATATAACAGTTGATGAACAAAAGGGATTGAAATATGAAAGTAATACTTCTCATTAAAAGATAACCATGATTTCTGTATGATATATATATTCACATGATTATTAGTCATAAAAGTTTATTCAAATCATTTCTTACACAATCAAACTGCAAAGCTAATTCAATTTCTTATTACAATACTGTTTCACCGGTCTTTTTATGCATAGAAAAACAGTCAGGACTTTGTAACATTACGAGCATCAACGCTAATGTATTTTTAGACAGTCTCATTTGAATGGACATTTATAATCAACAATTCAATAAAAGAATATTTATAACGAATTATCATTTCAAATATATTAACCCGACCCTGTATAATTCCGTACATTTATCATCCGGTATCAAATCATGTATAGATTTTTCATTATTTTAAACTGTTAAGTTAGTGAAAAACTGTATAGTCTCGTTGATTTCTTATTTCATCATCATCATTTCCTTCATTATTTACATTAATTCATTTCACTCTATAATTTTGATTTTTATTGTACGATAAATATTTTTTGAATTTATTTCTTAGGAATCATGAATTCTGTGTACTTCATATGTTTAAAGCAATTAGTTCCTTTTACAAATTTCTTTAGAGTAACATTTTTTTTCAGAAAAATTTCTTCTCATTGTACTTCATGTGTATTAAATTTTATTCTTAAAAAAAAGAAATCAACCGTCAAAAAGATTGTTTTTATTTATTTATTTTTAAATAGATGTTTCCAGTCATTATGAATGTATTGTTTACTTCAATGTACTTCGTAATGAAGTAGTAATTTATGAATGTTCACATTTTGTTTCTGTATATTGAGTTCCATATTTTTAAGGTAGTTGATTAATGCACCCTGATATAAGTTATAGTTTAATTGGACTGTACAAACCTGTAATCATCACGCTATAAATTTTCCCCTATAGCCTAGTGTATACAATCTTATTATGTATGTGTTGTTCATTTATTTCACGTATCATTTAGTAATCAATTGGAAAATTACACTCACACACAAAATGAATTTTGTTTTGTTATTTGAATATCCAGAAAAAGCTGGAGGAAAAAATTCGTTTCAATCATCAGATGAATGGTCAATACTCCTTGATCTTTTCCTACACTTATCAATTATTTAAGATAAATACACTAAATTTTGTAAATAAATTAATTTACATTTGATATCTCTGTCTATGAAGTATGATTAGACTGTAAGTTTATTCAAATTAATTAATATAACTAATAAATTATGCTGATATATATTAATCAGTTTGACAATTGGCATATTTGTATTATATATGTATGTTAATTTTCAATTTACATTTTACAGTTACATCTAAATTAGTCCATTAATCATTAAAGGATAAATAAATGTTGTTAATGAGTCTTATTTGACGTAGTTGAATTCCATTACATTTTTATTTGTTGTTTTATTTAACTATTAAAAAAAACCTCCTCTATATGTTACATACCTAGATTAACTGGGATTTTTATATGTGATACATATTTTTCTATGTATGTGAGTATAAAGAAAAAAGTGTGTCAAATTAGCAATATTGAAATTATAATGTGTATTTTGAAACTGGATATTAGCTGTTCAAAATTTTACGAATTCCCAATATTTTAATAATTAATTTAGGAGCATATTATTCAATTAGATTTTTCTCTTTTGTCATTTGTCATCTAAGTTTATTGTTATTTGAAAGTGATTTTTATCATGAGTTGTTGAATCGCTAAATGTTGGAGAATAGTGAATAAATGTTTTTTCTAGCTTAGGAATCGTCAATAGGGCAACGAATAACATACAGTTGAACTACTGGGTCGATTACCAATCGTGCAAATTTTCTAAGATTCTACTAGTAATATCGATTTGTGATGAAAATTAATTTTCTAAATGTAAAACGTTTCCACAACATCATCTACCCAATTATAATTGTGTTCATTCCTGAGTAACTTTCAGATAGATTTCTTGAAATCTTAGTAGAACATCATGACTTATAAAGTTACTGTTATATCCGAGCGAAGATTAAATCACGAGTAACTTCTGAGATATATTAATTGACTAATATTATCTATACATTTTTATCGTATAACTATTCAATAATTAGATTATGTATATTTACATTCCTCTTATTATAAGCTTTATTTCGACCTATAATTTATTATTGTATGATTTACTGTTCTTAAGCTATGTTCAGTTTATTGACTACTGCCTCCCACGTTCACAGCCATTTTTTGGCTTTATTGTGTACAAATGTTATTTCCTATTTTATGGTTGATTGATATATAAACCCAGTATTTTTGAAATATATGATTCGCATAGTGAGATCTGGTATTGGTGTTCTGGACTCAAGTGAACGGGCTAGGACCATAGCAGTCAAACGTCATTGGTTTGGCACAGTGCGAAAATTGTATAAGTCGTATTTTGATTGGTGGATAAATCACGTGATAAAAAGCTGGACATAAAGTCATAACAGATACCTAACCGATTATATAGATTGGAGATATCAAAATATCACAAATTAAACGAGGTGGACTAATTGATTCCAGTTGAATAGCTCAGTGGTGTCATACTCATTGTTAAGCCTGCAAATCATGTTTGGATGGAATTTTTCAAGCGAATACAAAACAACTTTGCAAATTTCCATGCATTCTTTTCTAGCTGATATCAACTTTTAACAAATCTAACTATCTATTGAATTATACAGTTTCGTAATATAATCTTATTAAATCATAATACCAGCCAAATCAATTGTAGAAACGTTTTAAGACAAAGTAGGATTGTAAGTAGTCAGTCAGTCAGCTACAACATAGGACCAGGCACATATATGCATCGGTCCAAGTTGCCATACCTCATTAACACAACAAGATGGACACCGTATTCATATAAGTGGTTAATTCAGAGGTGGTAATATGTAAAAGAAAGATTGCAATAAGGATATAGTACAGGGAGAAAGGATTAGTTCGTAGTAAGAAAGATATGAAACGATTTTAATCTCTTATCTTAAGAGAAGATAGAGAGTGTATACACCGACGCCGTTGTGACCGATTCTGAGCCATGTCACCAAGAGTCTCCAACTATTGGTTACGATAGTAGTCTGCATCTACCAACATGGCCCAGACTAGAAGTTAATGACTTCAAGCACTGATGCCACGTTTTGGTTTGGCCGCCCCTGATTTTCTTCCAACCATCTCCAACACCGGATAGCATTGCACGTCGTGGTAATCGGTGTTCGGGCATACGTAACACGTGACCTAACCATCTCAGTCGATGAAGATTCACAACCTCATCAACTGATTTACCATTATTCCCTAATACCATGCGTCGAACCTCACTATTACTTACCCGGTGATCCCAACAGATGCGAGCAATATTTCTAAGGCATCTGTGGTCAAATACTAGTAGCTTACGAGTGTCTTCTACTCTTATAGGCCATGTTTCGCTGCCGTAGATTAAAACAGAACGGACCGCCGCGCAGTATACTCGTCCTTTTATTGATAGACGGATATCTCGCCTTCACCATAGGTGACGTAAGTTGGTAAAAGCCAATCGAGCTCTTCGAATCCGTGCTGAGATTTCGTCAGACACCAACCCATTTGGGCTGACCAGACTTCCAAGATAAGTGAAGTTGTCAACGCACACCAGTCCTGAAGCAACAACTTGCATTTAGAGGGAGAGAAGCGCATTCCAAACATTCTGGCATTGTTGCTTAGTGCTACCAGAAGACTGCATTCTATCAGCATCTTCACCAAACAGGACTATATCATCTACGTATTCTAAGTCGATAAGTGGACCTCCTGGAAGGAGATCAATACACGAGAATTCAGTCGACGAGAATGATATTTCCATCAATAGGTCTATGATGAAGTTAAACAGAAATGGAGAAAGTGGACAGCCTTGACGGACACCACTTGAGGCTGCAAAAGTAGATGACAGTTCTCTATAAGCTCTGACTCGACTGCTAGTTTTCGAGTAAATAGGCTTCACAAGGTTTATGTACTTCTGAGGTACGCCTTTCAATGACAGACACTGCCACAGAACCTCGCGGTCTACCGAGTCAAATACTGCTTTTAAGTCAAGAAAGACCACCATTGTCGGACGCCGATAGGTATGCCTGTGTTCTAGAACCTGACGAATGGTGAATATGTGGTCGATGCAGCCACGACCAGGTCTGAAGCCAGCTTGGTTCTCTCGTGTTTGCAGTTCACGAGTCTTAGTTAGGCGTCTGATAATTATCGAGGCTTGTATTTTAGATACTATATTAGTTAAACTAATCCCTCTGTGATTGTCACAGGATGATTTTGACCCTTTCTTATATATTGGGACGATAAGTGATTGTGACCAGTTAGATGGAATAACGTCTAACTCCCAGATTTTAGCTAAAATATTAGTCAACCTAATCGCTAAAATTGGACCACCATCCTTGAAGACTTCTGGAGCCAATCCATCTGGACCAGCTGCCCTTCCTCGTTTCAGATTAACTATAGCCTTTTGAACTTCAGCAAGAGTTGGGGGACCTACTTCAATGTTCCATTCACACTGTCTGGGAATGGAAGGTAGTTGTAGAGTAGCTGAAGGCCGGTTGAACTGTTCTCTGAAATGTTCCGCCCATCGTTCTAAACGTCTGGACTGAGAGCAGATGAGGGTGTCGTCTTTTTCCGAAATAGTCTCACTTACACTTGACTTATTAGTTCCAGTTTCTTTTATTAGTCTGTAAAGCTGTCTTGTGTTCTCTATAGTCGCCGCCTTTTCCATCTCTTTTGCTTTCGTTGCCCACCACTGCTCACGGTCGTTTCTTAGACTTTTAATTAACCTAGGTCTTCATCATGTTCGGAACCTGATGGGACGAGTTTGCGAGAATCCATCATAGTGATAGACTTTGAAGAAATCCACTGGTTCTTTGTAACTCTGTGGTTTAAGTCATTAACGGATTTCATTGCTGTTTCCACAGCTGTTTGTATATCTTTCCAAGCAACATCTGGGTCAGCCTCGTTTTCAGAACTACCTAAGTGTGACCTCAGTTGTTCCTGGAACCTACTTTTGGTTTTCTCGTTACTCAACTCAGTTCTAATGGGTCTTTTTAATGTGGCTTTTTTGCGTCCAGTGAGGCGCAAGCAGATGCGTGCCCGTATTAGGGCGTGGTCGGAGTCCAAGCAGGTACTCTAGAATGAGCGACAATCTTCTACCGACCCTCTCCAACGATGACTGATGGCAATATGGTCTATTTGAGTCCATCGTTGATTTGGTGTAGGGGGTCGCCATGTTAGACGATGTCTCTCCTTATGCTTAAAATTTGTGTTTGCTAAAAATAAGCGATTGTCTGAGCACATTTGCAGCAGATGGCCACCATTATCTGTTCGCTCTGCCGGAATGCTGAAATATCCACCTAAATGCCTTTCTGTTTGATTTAAGCTACGTATCTGAGCATTAAAGTCACCCCCTACGAGTACTATGTCTGAGCGTTTAGCTTTCTGAAGAAGTTCAGATAGCTTTCTGTAAAATTCATCTTTCACATCATCTGAGCTGCAGTCAGTGGGAGCGTAGGCAGAAACGACAAAAAGGCAACGACATGTGTCCCTATCCTTCCGAGTTCTTACGGAGCCGTTTAACTGAACAGCATATAAACGACTGTTAACGGGGATCCACTCTAGCAATGCTTGTTCCGCCCTCATGCTTAGTGCTATACCTACACCTGCCAGTCCACGAGAACTGGCTATCGGGTCACCAGATACACGGAGGGTGTATCTCGTTGGCTCTCCGTCTTGCCGAGGTGAGGTCAAGTGATTGACCACACTAGGATCCTGTATGCGTGTTTCAGAGACACAGCATACATCAATGGAAAGAGACTCTAGGGTTTTAGCCAAGGAAGCCTGCTGACCGATTTGACATAGAGTGCGTACGTTGAAAGCTCCAATGTGTAGTTTGGAGCGAGGTTTCAGTAGACCTGGGACAGAGTTTTGAGCACTAGAATCGTTGGCAATGGTGACACTTGAGGAGGAAGCCGAGAAAGGAAGTTTAGGGTTGAAAGTCGATGTAGGAGGAATAACAGAAAGTGAAGACGGAGGTTGAGTATGAGTACAGTGATCTTGAGTGCTGTTAGAGGTATGAGGGCGGTTATCACCCACACCGTGGAAGGGTTCTTCTGAAGGTACCTTGAAAGGAAATTGGATTAGAGGTGGTCTTAGTGACTTGACAGCGTGACCCCAGTGCCCAAGGGACAACTGCTTGAGGTCAGTCACACACGATCCTTTTCTGAGTAATTTTTGTGTTAGCTCCGTACTTTTTGGGACCTTACCGCCGGAGACGGATATCCGTGGGATAAGGCAAGGTGTGCATTTTTAGGGTCGACCTTTTCTAACCCCACCCCTCCTTGTGGGAAGGCAGCATCGCTGTCATGCTGGTTGTCTGAAGGAAACACCTTACTGCTGTCACACCTCTGTACAGTCAGCAGTAAGACTTCGCCTTCGGACCTTGGGTTTGTTGCTTTTAGTCTTACCGCCCTTCAAACGACCTGTCTGACATGGTAGGACCTTGAGGAACAGTTGTTCCAGCTAGTATAGCTCGGTTGCTTCATCACGATAGGCAAGCCCGACCACCACATCAAGGTAGCAACAACGGTCGGGGGATTGTAAGTAAAATAAGTTTGAATAAAAAATAACCCCGAGATGGTGAAAATCTCAATCTGAGTTGTGTTTTTTTCGAATTCACTCTACAAAAGAGATATGCGTGATAAAGATGGACAATTTTGTCAAAATCAATATTTCATAATTTTCTGACATGATAAGTGGTACATTGTTTCTATCGATTTTTTTGCAATCCTGTAAGCATATTTTGATTTTCACAGTTTGTTTGCTGACTAATTTTGTTTACTGTATTTTAATTTATAGAAATCTTTAAGGAAACTTTTTCTTCTTATTATTTTACTAATGTCTAGAATTTGACTACCTCACTAGAATGGACTTTTTAAAAGCTATTCTAAATAATGTTGTTCAATATTAGTCTAAACATTGTCATTTTCCCAGTTGGACACAGTTTTAATGGCTTCAAGAGAACATAACTAGTTGTATATTTGTTTTCATTACAATACAATCTTTAGGTGTATGTTAATTATAAATTGATTCTTTTCATGTTTATTGTATATATAACTATCTGTAAACTGTTACTACTGGGTTATAGTAAGTGGTAAAAAGAATTCAGTCTGAATCAGTCTTGATGATAATAACTATTAAACAGTGAATTAATTGGTCATGATTTCTTCAATGTTAATCAATACACAATTCTTTGACTAATACTGAAGAGAAATTGTTTTTTTGTCTTCTTTTAG